CAATGATCCTTGCATTTGATATAGCATCTTATCGCCTCTTCAAAATGTCTTAAAGAACTGCAGAGAGGTAAACGGCGGCTGCCATTCCAACTGGTGGAACCATCACTCAATGGGTAGGGATGTGTGTCCGAGTTATGGGCAGGAGTGTGGTGGTAAAGCTTCACCACTTTTCATGTTGAGCAGGAATGAATTAAGGGATCTGGGGGAATCTGAACCAGATTACATTTGGGGGTTCTCCATTGCAACCTTCCCATCGTTTTCCACATAGACCCTAACAAGGTTGTACAAAGCACAAGGCAGCGTGGAGAGTTACTGGAAGAGAGACAACGTGTGAGGTCAAAGCGGCAACAATATCTGGTGCCCCCACTCAGACCTCGGGGCCCTAAGCCATGCCTTAGTTGGTTTATTAATTTATTAGGCCAGCCCTGATGTTGAGCTGTATTGGCTCCAAGGTGATTTGCTTGGCAGTGGAATGTTGGAATCAAGTCAATCCTCCCTTGTGGTCTTAGTGGTCTGGTTCCTGAGCCAGGAGGATCTGCAGTACTCCATGGCACTGCTGACAGCAGACCTGGCTCTTTGGCAGGACTTGGAAGGAATAGGAATTCTTTGTAATTGGATCCTGTTAACCCTGCAATCCAAAGCCCTAACATGTAGGGTGGCCCCAGCTGGGCAAGCTTGCACACAATGCTCAACAATGACATTGTGTAATTTCAGTTGATTAAAATCCAGCAAATACCCGAATGCAGACTCAGACGTCCCTAAGCTTTCGGTCTTCCCAAACTGTGCCTAATACGTTCTGGAATTTGAGAAGCAGGATGCATCTCTCCGAGCATGAAGTACGCATTCCATTCTACACATAGGGGAATTTTTATGCATGGGTAGAATAAGGGTGGCATGCTTATGTAGAACTTTCAGTCTGGTGTGGACTCTTTCAAACATGGTGAAGGGTTTGCACTGGTGACAGATACTTACTAAAAAAAATGCAGTTGCAGATTTATTGTGGTGATGCCATCAATAGCACCCACCCCATATGAGATGACTTAATTTATAACAGAGCAGAAATTGATCTTTACTTTCTAACCCCCTCCATACCCACTGACCTCCCACCTCCCCCTAGCCCCCCCCCCCCACCCCCTCACACACATCACACACACACCAACAGTTGGAGAGTTCCAATAATTCACTTCTGTCTCCTGTTGTGCTGAAATATGCTTCTGGCATGTCCTTGACCAGTCTACTTCAGCCAAAATAACATTCCACAACACACACATATAAAACAAAAATATTTCAGTGAGACAAGACTGATCAGATCAGTCTGCACCTACTGTTGCTTCATCTTAGATTGAATTTAAACTAAATAAAATGATGTTTAACTTTTTTTCTGGGAGTTATTTGGATTTGAGTGTGAAGATTGACTGTATTTTGAATGTTTTTTCATCACTGTAAAACTACTGTCAATAAGATTAACCAAATATTAAGTTGTATCTTGAGTGCATTTAATTACAAATTCAAACAAATTATTCTAATCTTTTATTGATCACTGCTGAGTCCACAGTTGATTTAACTAAAAGCACTCTAAGATGCCATCTGGCGAGAAGGGCTCTATATAAATACACGTTGTTGTTGTTGAATATTATGTACAGCTTAGGACATCTAATCTATGAAAATTACAGTGGTATGTTAGAGAAGGTGAAGAGATGAAACAAATGAATGTTTCTTGAACTCTAAATTTTGAAAAGAGGCTCACACTAGCTAAATATATTGTCATTAGGGAAAAGAAAATTAGGTTAGAGACATGATTCAGATCTTTTGAAACGATTAAAAGTATAGATAATAATAATCCGTGCATTTGATATTCCGCTTTACCAAATCAACAAAATATTTCAAAGTGCTTCACAGGATTTATTTTATTTAGTGTAAAGTGTACTGTACTGTAAAGTGGAGAATATTTTTCTGTTCCCATATCTCTGCTGTTCACTGCTTTCTGGGTACAAGCCAGAATCATCACATGCCTTGGGATGACCTCCTGATGTGAAAAAACAACAAAATTACATTTGCATAGCTCCTTTCATGTCGGGAGGCTCTGAACAATCAGAGTTTTGGACCCGAGCTGGGGGTCGGGGTCGGGGAGGGTGGAGGGCAGGTGGGGGAAGGAGGGTGATTGAACGCACGGTCAAAGAGGATGGTCTTGATATGGGTCTTGAAGGAGGCAAGGGAGGGGGTGAGTTGGAGGGACTGCAAGAGTTCCAGAGGGTGAGGGCAGAGTGGCTGAAGGCCCACCCACCAATGGTGAGGCGGGTGAGGCGGGGGACGTGAACCAGGCTGGAGCCCACTGAACGGAGGGAGTGGGCAGGTTGGTAGGGTGTTAGAGGTTGCAGAGGTAGGACAGAGCAAGGCCATGGAGGGCTTTGAAGGTGAAAATCAGGATCTTGAACTGTATCCTTTGTGTGATGGGAAACCAGTGGAGTCAGGCGAGGATGGAGTTGATAGGGTCACGGAGGCTGGTGCGGGAGAGGACACAGGCTGCAGCCTATGGAGGGAGGAGTTGGGGAGGCCGACAAGCAGGGAGTTCACATAGTCAAGCCTGGATGTTATGGATCCGTGTATGAGGGTTTCGGAGCCCTGTGGTGTGAGACAGTGTCAGAGCCGGGCGACGTTGCAGAGGTGGGGGAAGGCAGAGCGGGACATGGCACGGATGTGGGGTAGAAAGGATAGTTGAGAGTCAAACAAGGTGCCAAGGTTCCGGACTGGCTTAGCAAGCTGGGGTGTGCATCCTTGGATGGTGATGCTGTCAACGCCTAAGGTGTGGAGATGCTGACGGGAGCCAATCAGGAGAGCCTCGGTCTTGTTGGCACTATATAAATTACATTTGCTGTTGTTATAGTAACTGTTTTTGTAGATGATGTATATGGTTATTTGATGTGGAGTAGCTCAAGTAAGACTAGAAGAATGTTTTGCCAGCTGAGTAGTGAATGGACTTCTGGCAAAAATAGTTGTTGCTTCATCTTGTTTCATATCTTCAAAGAATTGGATCACTATCTAGCTTGGAAAGTGACTGAAGATAAGACAGAAGTAATCAAATACTCCATGGAGCTCCATATACCGTTGCGGCTCTTTGTGGAAAACACCAAGCAAGCATTGAACAGCAAAGATTTGGGAACTACTGAAATAATAACAACTGCTGAAATTAAAATATTGATAATACTTACATTTAATATAGCACCTTTCATATTAGGAGGAGGTGTCAAAGCGCTTCACAGTATATACTGTAAAGTGTCATACCTGTGTATTTTGTAGGCGAATGCAGCAGGCAATTTATACACAACATTTTATTATTATTACTAGATAATTATTTGGGGAGGACAAGTTTGCAGGGCTATGGGGAGAGAGCGGGGGACTGGGATTGAGTTGGATAGCTCTTTTCAAAGAGCCGGCACAGACACAATGGGCCAAATGGCCTCCTTCTGTGCTGTATAATTCTATGATTCTATGATTTCACAAGAGATGAATCAACATCTTAAAGATCTGCGACTTAACATTTGGGTATAACGTTTCAGCAAGACTTGTTCTGATTAAGGATTATAGTCGAAACAGCAACCTAGCTTTCTCCTTTCAGGTGTTGACTGACCTGCTGCAGATTTTCAGCATTTCTGCTTTACTTTCAAATTTCCAGTTGTAGGTTCAGAACATGCTCTATAGTAATAACAATTGCATCTGATATAGTACCTCATCGTGTCCAAATGTTGCAAAGTGCTTTGTAGTAATTATTGTTAAGTGTAGTGACTGTGTCTGTAGGTAAACACTGCAGCAATTTGTGCTCAGCAATGTTCCGCACAAAGCCATGAAGTGAATGAGCAATTTGATCCGGGGTGTTGTTGGCCAAGTCACAGGAGAAACTCCCTCCTCTGTTTGAACTTTGCCATGAGATCATTAGTGGAATCATTAGTGGATTTGTGGATCATGGGAGTCCTGTAGCTCAGTGGTTAGGGCACTCATCTTGGAGGTGAGATACCTGGGTTCAATTCTAGGCAGTTTCCTTAATAATAATTCCTCCAAAAAACAAAACAATAATAAATTGGTCATTTTCAATCCACGACTGTTTGTGGGACACTGCTGTGCGCAATTGGCTGCCGCGTTTCTCCCACAAATATACGGCCAATTCACTTTACAGAATATTCTGTGAAACGCTTTGAGACGTCTAGAACATGTGAAAAGTGCTATATCAAATGCAAGGATTATTATTATTAATATCCATTGGAACACGTGGATGGAACCTTGGTTTAACATCGCATCTGGAGGACAGTAGTTCCAACATTGAGTGCCATCTCAAAAATGTAATTGGAGCCATTCACTGTCAAATTGTTCTTTGCAGGGTACCGCATGCACAGACACAGCTCTGTGTGAATGATCGCAGTTGCAGTATTTCAGTTAATCTCCAGCAGCCAGGGTTGCCAGAAACTAAAATAGATTTGTAGCTCAAAGTCAACCAAACACTAACCCACGAGTAGCCCAATATTAACCGTTGCCTCCTATAGGGGAGCAGAATGGCCAATTTAGCTTAGCGCTTCGGAAACGGTGAGAGACAACGTCTTCAAAGGAGCGGTGGGGGTAGAAATGTTTCGCAGGTTTAAATTACAAATGTAAAGATTGGGCGAACCGCCCAAAGCTGGGTGGTGGGGGTGGTGGTGGTGGTGGTGGGGTGGGGAGCGGTTCACGCGCGGTGCAACAAAAACCGCCCCAATTGGGGCGTAAACCCGCCCAACCCGCCCGCGCGCCGCGGCTGTCAATCACACGGATCCGGGGCCGCGTTCCACTGCACTTCCGGGTGAGCTGCGGGCGCTCAGCCGCGTCTGTGCAGCGGCTACAACAGAGACCGGTGACAGGCGCAGAGCCCCTGCCCTGCCCGGCCCTGCCCTGCCTGCCCTGCCCGGCCCGGCCCTGCCCTGCCTGCCCTGCCCGGCCCGGCCCGCAGTGACCCGGGGCTCTTACATGTTCCAAGAATGGCGGGCGCGCCCCTGGTTAAGACGTGCAGGGTCCCCGCGCGGCACGGTTACGCTGTAGAGACTTCTCCTTATTTCGCCACTAGACTGGCCTGCGCTGCCTCGCAGTACTACGGAATAGCAGGTAGCGTGCGGGGCAGGAGGCTCGCAGGCAGGAGGGGGAGGGGGGGTGGTGGGGGGTGACAGGCTGGAGGGGTCTGTACCGCCGGCATGTGATCAGCTGCACCTCAGTCAAAGAGGCAGCATCGAGAGTGACGCACACACCACAATACGGGAGGACTGTTTGGGGGATCATCGTTGCAAGTGAAGGATATTTGACCCTCTCACCCGCTATGTTGGGAGTGGGGAGTGATATTAATAGTGTCAGTCAACAGGAAGCGAGATCGTTTTTTTTAGGTTTCCTTCCTGGCGTCGGGGACTATTTATAAGTGTCTGTGACCCGATGAAGCAATTGCATTTAGATTGCATTTAAGCTGCGCGGTACTGGTTTTTTTTTCACTTGTATTTTTAGAGACCACACGCGGCCAAACAGCAATGTTGTCTGCTTTCACATCTGTGAAAATAGACGTCTATGCATAGTGCTGGTGTTCCTGTGCAATAGGTAATGTTAATAATAATAATAATAATAATAATAATCCTTGCATTTGATATAGCGCTTTTCACGTCGGGAGGACGTCCCAAAGCGCTTCACAGAACACACTGTAAAGTGAATTGACTGTATATTTGTGGGCGAACGCGGCAGCCAATTGCGCACAGCAATGTCCCACAAACAGTCGTAGATTGAAAATGACCAATTTAATTATTGTTTTTAGTTTTGGAGGGATTATTATTAGGCGTGTGGAGTAAGGAAACTTGCACAAGGTTTCGCCCTCTGCCTGGAATTGAACTCAGGTCTCTCACTTGCAAAGCGAGTGCTCTAACCACTGAGCTACAGGACTCCACTGTTAGAAAAGAGATGAATTTAACAGGTCCAGTTATTCAGTTTGGGCTTCGAGAACTTGTTTATAAATTTATAAAGTTGACTTTACATCAGTGCAAAGACAAAACACTGGATAACCCACTTCAGAAATGTTCAGATACCACATGTATGTGGTTGTCTGTTTAAGAACCCAAACTCACAAGTACTGTAGGACTGAAACTCCCCACAACCCAATGCCTTTCTCTTAACCTCCTCCAGCATGTCATCCATTTGAATAAAATCAAACTATTCTCAGCCTGAATTGTTGGCACATATAGAACAGTTAGTATCATGTATCTGAAAAATGTGTTCGAGGTTGTGGGGATTAATTGACAGCATCTGGTTTACTGGCTGTGAGTCCCAGGCCCAGCTGTGACTTTAGCAGAGATACAAAGCAGAGGTCAATTGCAAGCCAGAAAGAAGAACCGCAATCTCAATACGTTTTGAAGCCCTTTACAATAATACTGTCAAGGTAGTGACTTTTGCAGGCAAATGTGGCAGCTATTTTGTTTATATTTAAAGTTCCTAGAAACAGCCATGAGGTGAACGACCAATTCATCTGGAGGATTGTTGGCCAGGATTAGCTCGGATCAGCCAAGCAAACCCCGTCCTTCTTAATAAGTGACAGCTACGAATGCCAATATCCCCCGGTTTTCTGCCCTGTTTATGCCCCCGACAGAGTTTTTAAATGAGTGGAGGCTTTATGCCAAATCAGCACCCTCCCCCATGACTCGGCTGCCCCTTTTTACCTGAAAATCCCGAGCCCTTTCAGGAATCGCTCCAGGACTGAGTGACAACTTGTGAATGAGCTCAAGTCCCATTGTGGGGCTTGAACCCACAAGCTTCTTACCCAGAGGCAACCAGTTTTTAAAGTTAAACTTTGCAATACAAGGACTGTTGATACTGAATTTTGGGTACTGAATAAAGTTGTATTTGGTTTATGTGAGTGCTTCACTATTTTCTGCCATTCAGCTGATTGGGTATCACTTGACACTATGTTTTTATGCCCTCTTTCAGGTTGTGGAACGTTATTGGTGCTGGAACAGACAGAAACTGGAATTGTTCCTTTTAGGAGGTACAGTAATGTGAACATCTACTGGTTTTTGCTTTTGACATTGCAATATTCAGTAAATTATGGGTTATATTTGCATTCCTCTTTTGTCAACCTGGCTCAGCTGATATTATATCTGAGTCAGAAGGATCTGGGTTCAAATCACACGTTGGGACTTGGAGCTCACACTGTCGAGTCTGACACTGCAATGGGGTGGGGTGGGGGTCAGATGTCAGATGTTCCATCCTTTGGATGAGACATCAAACCGAGGTCCCATCTGCCTGTTAAAGTGGACGTTAAAGATTCCACAGCTCTAAAAATGGAGGGAGTTCCTCACAGTGTCCTGATCAACAGTCACCCAGATAAAATTAATCATTCCGGTTGTGGCTCTGACAACAACAGTTTGCATTTACATAGCACCCTTCGTGCTGGATAGCATCTTGGAGGACTGAAATTGTGCACAAACTGCACAAGTTGGGTGCTGCGTTTGCCTACAGAATACACAGTTACTACATTTTACAGTAAATCTTGTGAAACATTGAGACATCTTGCCAATGTGAAAGTCGTTGTATCAAATGCAAGTTATTATTTGATACAACGGAGTCCTGTAGCTCAGTGGTTAGAGCACTCGCTTTGCAAGCGAGAGACCTGAGTTCAATTCCAGGCAGGGCGAAACCTTGGGCAAGTTTCCTTACTCCACACGCCTAATAATAATCCCTCCAAAACCAAAAACAATAATAAATTGGTCATTTTCAATCAACGACTGTTTGTGGGACATTGCTGTGCGCAATTGGCTGCCGCGTTCGCCCACAAATATACAGTCAATTCACTTTACAGTGTGTTCTGTGAAGCGCTTTGGGACGTCCTCCCGACGTGAAAAGCGCTATATCAAATGCAAGGATTATTATTATTATTATTATTATTATCTTTATCAACTGATCCAGGCCAATATCTGTGGTTTGCTAATTTGCTGTTATACTTTAGATATTGTTCAACTCTTTGACCAAAATCTCCAGTTAATTCCAGACACCTTGGTCTGCCAGTTTTTAAAGATTCCATTTCCTACACAGTGACACTGAAACAATTCTACTGAACTATTAGAAGTTGCTTTATTACTGCAGTGCAATATATCACTAAAAAAAAATGTTTACAGAAGCTACAAGTCAGTCAGCTTAATGTTGGTTTTAGGCAAAGATTAAAATCTACAATAAAAGATGAAGTAACTAGTCACTTGGAGAAGAAGAATATGATTAAGAATAGCCAGCATGGATTTATGAAAGGAAGATCATGCTTAATAATAATAATAATCATGCTTGACCAACCTTATTGAATTCTTTGAAGATTTAACTGATAACTGATGAACTGATAAGGGAAATGCAGTGGATGTAGTGTATCTGGATTTCCAGAAAGGTTTTGATAAACTGCCACATGAGATGCTTAGGACTAAAACATGGGCATGTAGAATTGTGGGAGAGGTAGCAGAATGGATTAAAGAATAATTAGGAAACCAAAAGCAAAGGGTAGGAGTTAAGGGTATCTTCTCAGGCTGGAAAGAAGTTGGAAATGATTCATATATTGGAGTGGTGTCAAAATTTGTAGATAACATCAAACGGAGGAGCATAGGGATTGCAGAAGATTGCAGGAAGACATAAACATGCTTGTAGAATGAGCAGGTCGATGGTAAATTAAGATTATGTAGGAAAAGGTGAAGTAATTCACTTTGGCAGGAAAAATAAAGAAGCCATCTGCATTCTAGATGGTAGAAACCTAAGAGGAGAGGAGGAGCAAAGAGATCTGGGGATTCAAATCCACAAATCTCTAAATGTAACAACACAGGTAGATAAGGCTATCAAAAGGCCGGTTGGGTCTTGGGCTTTTTTCTTCGGAGGGGTAGAATATAATTGTGAGGAACTGATGTTGATTTATACAATACCTTGGTTTGACTACATTTGGAGTACTGTGTCCAATTCTGGTGTCTGCACTATAGGAAGGATATAGCAGTGATGGAAAGAGTACAGCGTTAGGGATATGAGAATGATGCCAGGGCTAGCAGGTTACTGCTATCAGAATAGACTGGGTAGATTGGGCCTCTTTTCTAGGGAAGAGATGTTTAAGGGGGGATCTAATAGAAGCATAGGAGTTCAAGGGTTCAATATGGTTAATATAAATAGGCTGTTTCCACTGGTTGGGGAGTCTGTAACCAGTGGACACAAATATAAGATATTGACTAAAGGATCTAAGAGAATTTAGGAGGAACTACTTCACACAGAGAGCAGTGAAATTGTGGAACGTGCTGCCTGAGGCAGTGGTTGAATCAGATAGTATAAATGTATTCAAGAGGAAGCTGGACCTTCACATGAGGGAGAGGGGAATAGAAAGGTACGGGAGGGAGTAAAGGAATGGGTAAAGACTCGTGGAGTATAAACATTTGCACGGACTGATTGGGCCAAGTGGCATGTTTCCGTGCTGTACATTCTTTGTAAATCTTTGCAAACCTTTTGTTAAATAAAACTGTTAAAAGCTTGACTTCCACTCCGTTGTTGATTTTTCCCTCCCTCCATTTTCTTTCCCCTTACTGGTCTGTTTTATTTTTATCTCTTTTTCAATTATAATCCTTGGTCCAGTTGTTTGGAAATGTCTGCCTCCATATTCCAGTTGGTACTGTATGTTTTGGGCACATACAGGTTATACACCCGACTGTAGTTTGAAGGGTTAAGCATTACATTCTTGTAAATTGAATCCGCTGTTTTACAATTGTTACACTGAAAAAGCCTAAACTCTTGAAAATGGATCACATAGATAAAAATTGGCTATTTGTGTGATGTTTCTGGAAGGGCAAGTGTTTTGTTGAATCTACAGTAGTTATTTATTCATCTCTTTAGTTTTGACTGGAATGATAGTCTGTTTGATGTGACCTGGAGTGAGAACAATGAACATGCATTGGTCACCGGAAGTGGAGATGGATCTTTGCAGCTCTGGGACACAGAAAATCCCCTCGGGCCTGTACAAGTCTTCAAAGAACACACTCAAGAGGTAAAAATTAACAGCTTTTCCAATGCAAAATAAGCCTTTTAATCAGCTAAAGCCTTTTGGATTTCATTCAATCATTGAGAAATTTCAGATTGTGTGAGAAGTTCAAATTGATATTTTAAAATTTACTTTGGAGAGCTTGCAGGATTTTAGTCCTTTTCTCAATTTCTTGTATTAATGCTATGATTTACGTTTTTTCTTTCAATGGTAGCACATCTGTAGAATATGACTTTGTTTAATTTGCCTGGTTTACCCTGCACAGGAGTGTAACTCTTCTGCCAGGGTAATAGTTTTGCTTATTTGTGACTTACACACAAAGCCATAGTACTCGTAAGTAAACATACAATTGCTGTATAACATTAGAAAAAAAGTAAGTTTATTTAGTAAGACATTGCACTGGAGAAATGTAATTGTTCCTCAAGGAGAGAAATTAACAGGAACTTCATATAAATGAAACAATTGTACCAGGAGAACTGTGTCTATTCACCTAACTGCAGTAAACTCTTTGTAATAATATAAAATAAAAGTTGACCGCAGTAACCATTGATTTTACAGATTTAACATGCAATCAACAATTATACTGGTAAGATTGAAAGCAAATGTGAGAAGTTCCCCTTTCCAGGTAGATCGGATGATGAATTGCAGATCTCCTGGGAATTAGATAACTGTTGTGCTTTTCCAGGAAGCATGTCGCTGTGCCCTTCATGTGGGCTTTGCACAAGATCAGTTGAGTTGAGCTCTCTATGGTAATGTTGCTGCAACACCTGATGAAATGCTAATCTCAAACCAATTAAGCAGAACCAGTGAAGGACAACTCGCTAATTAATCTTAAAGAAGTTATCACAAGTTGCCTACAGAGGTCTAGTGAAATGTGACTGCCAAAGTATTGAATAGAAACTGTAAGCACCTTTCCTCTCCAGGTCAGTCACTGAATTTTGTTCTTATTCAAGTGTTTTCTTTACTTCTTTGTCCTGCTATTGTAGGTTTACAGCGTTGATTGGAGCCAGAACAGAGGAGAACATCTGATAGTGTCTGGCTCATGGGATCACACTGTGAAAGTAGTAAGTGTTTTATTCTCTTCTGCGTGAGGAAGAAAAGTGGGTTCACGCTTTCACCCCATATATCTTTGCATCCCTTAGGCCTCAAGAAAACTCTTTCTGTTTATGTAGTACGTCTGATTTTATCAGTGCAGTTTGTGAACAAAGAAACATCTTTTCATGTTGAAGACAACTTAGAAATCTGTGGAAAGAGTTTTGTACCACGTGCACTTTCAGAGAATACATTAACCTCTGAAGAATGGAATCGTTACAGGGAATGAACACCTACTATAACATTTTTTAAAAATTATAATTCTTTCAGTTTTATAGGCATTTTTGATTCTGACATTTTTGAGTTTATGCCACAAACAAAGATGAAATCTAGTTTTGGAAGTATCAAATTTTTTCCATGACAAGGATTATATTTTTTTGCATTGGGAATAAAAAATCCTTTTTTAAAAAAGTATTGATTTTACCTTCAGAAGTTCTCTGCATGGTAAAGCTACAGTAAAACATACAGTCAATTCACTTTACAGCATATTCTGTGAAGCGCTTTGAGATGTCTAAAAGACGTGATAAAGCTGTGTATCAGATGCAAGGATTATTATTAAAATATGGTCAGGATTTTCAACTCATGGTCAAGGCCAGGGGTCTCCAACCAGCTCGAAACCAAAGTCGAGGGGATCCGCTCAGCTACCTCTGCCCCTCCGACCACTATCCACTTCCCATCTCCCCCTCACACCCCGGCCCCTACTCATCCCTCCCTCCGCAACATCGAACCTCTCTCCTCCTCTCTCATCACCACCATAACCCACATGAAACCGACAACTTGCTCCTTTGACCCCATCCCTAACCCCTTCCTTATCTCCCAGCTTCATCTCCTTGCCCCCATACTCACAGACATCATAAACCTCTCTGTCCACTGGCTCATTTCCACTGGGTCCTTGTTCCCAACCCTCTAAAAACGGCCATCATCACTTCTATCCTTAAAAAAAACCCTCCCTGGACCCATCCCTGCTCTGAAACTACCGTCCCATCTCCATCTTTCCTCTCCAAGGTCCTAGAACGAGTTGTTGCTTCCCAGCTTCGCTCCTTCCTTTCCTGTCAATCCCTTCACAAAACCCTCGATCGGGTTTCCGTGCCGCCCACAGCACAGAAACAGCTTTGGTCAAAGTGACAAATTACATTTTGTCCATCTGCGACCAGGGCCCCCACTGACTCCTCATTCTCCTTGATCTCTCTGCTGCCTTCAATACCGTTGACCACTCTATCTTCCTCCACCACCTCTCCTCTCAGCTCAACCTTCATAGTTCTGTCCTTGAATGGTTCATATCGTACCTCTCACACCGTCTCCACTTCATCTCCACAAACGGTTTCTCCTCTAGCCCCAGGCCATCTCGTGCAGAATTCCTCAGGGCTCCGTCCTTGATCCCCTCCTCATCAATATTTATATGCTCCATCTTCGTGATATCTGCAGACATGGGTTCAATTTCCACCTGTATGTGGATGACACCCAACTCTATCTCTCTGCCTCCAGCACGACTGCTGTCCTGACAGAATGTCTGTCAGACAACAAGTCCTGGATGAGAGCCAACTTACTACAGCTGATCGTCAACAAGACCGAGGCTCTCCTGATTGGCTCCCGTCAGTGCCCCACACTTCAAGCACTGACAGCATCACCATCCATGGTTGCACACTCCACCTCACTGAGCCAGTCCGGAACCTTGGGGTCTTGTTTGACCCTCAATTGTCCTTTCTACCCCAAATCTGTGCCATGAGCCGCTCTGCCTTTCCCCACCTCCGTAACATCGCCCGGCTCTGCCACTGTCTCACACTGCAGGGCGCTAAAACCCTCATACACGCATTCATAAAATCCAGGCTCGACTACCCAAACTTCCTGCTTGTCAGCCTCCCTCCATAGGCTGCAGATCATCCAGAACTCTGCAGCCCATGTCCTCTCCTGCACCAGACTTATCACCCCCATCCTAGCCCACCTCCACTGGCTTTCCATCACACAGAGGATACAGTTCAAGATCTTGGTCCTCACCTTCAAAGCCCTCCATGGCCTTGCTCACCTCACCCCCACCACCTCCTAACCCCCTACCAACCTGCCCGCTCCCTCCACTCAGCGGGCTCTGGCCTGCTTCACGTCCCCTGCCTCGCCCACTCCACGATTGGCGGGCAGGCCTTCTGCCACTCTGCCCCCACCCTCTGGAACTCCATCCCGCAGTTCCTCTGCCTTGCTCAGGAACCGGACTACCTAGACCTTCAAGACCCGTCTCAAGACCTTCCTCTTCGACCGTGGCTTCAGTCACCCTCCTTCCCCTCCTGCCTTCCACCCTCCCCTATCCCAACCCCCAATTTGGTTCCGAAACTCTTGACTGTCCAGTGCCTTGGGACGTCCTCTCAACGTGAAAAGCACTATACAAATGTAATTTTGTTGTTGTTGATCACCACTAGATGGTGATGTCACGAATGTTCAAAAAGACAAGGAATGGAGCACTAGAACTGCATCGCAAGCGGGATCTCCTTGGAGCTGAACTGCCTCCAAGGTGATGTGGCTGGCAATGGAATGTCGGAATCAAGCCAGCCTTCTGTGGCGGTCTCGGTAGTCCAGTTCCTGAGCCAGGCGGGTACACAGTATTCCAGGACGCTGCCCTGGCTCATCGGCAGGACCTGGAAAGGCAGACCAGTCACTGGGGCAGGTTGTTATCCCACTGAGCTCCTGTTAATCTTGCAAGCCAAAGCCCTAACTGGTAGGGTGGTCCTAGCTGAACACACAGTTTGAAAGCTTGCTGGACAGCAATATCAATGGCAAGCTATTTTACCTGGTTAGACTCCAGCAATACTCCAACGCACACTTTGGCCTTAGCTCTTGCCAACTGCACCTAATATTTTCTGGAATTAGGTAAGCAGGATGGGTCCCTCCAGGGAGAGAGTGCGCATTCCATTCCAACAATCTATGGGATTTCCACGTGTAGGTGGGATGCATGGAAATCGCATATGTGTCAGACCCCTGGCTGACCCCCCCAAAGAAAAGTTATTGAGTCAAATTGAAAACAAAGCCAGATGCACAAAGTATTCTATGCATCTGGAAATAAAAATATAAACTTTCATGTTAAAACTGCAGTAAATATCGCTCCTGCCTCTTTTTACTGAGTGTGGGTGAAACTCCATCTAGCGGCGATTAGAGACCCCTGTTCTAGGCTTTTACTCCAGTACAGTCCTGGGGATCGCTGCATTATCACGGATGTGGTCCTTTGAATGAGATGCTAGACTAAGGTCCTATCTGCCTGTTTAAGTGGACATTAAAGATCCCACAGGAGTTTTCCAAAAGAGAATGGAGTTTCTCATGGTCTGTGTGGTCCTCACCTTTCTTTTTATTGCCATTGTTTAATTAACAGCAGTTGCACTGATGAAATGCTTGAGGATTTTCTCCCTTACCCTGTCTTGAAGGGTAGATTATGATTAGTAAAAAGCATATGTTTTCCTTGTTGAGAACTGGTAAACCTTGACCTACAGAAAGTAACTGAATTTGAATGTCACTGAGACTTGGATTTGAACCCAGCTTCTTGGAGCAGCGTCAGCACCACTGCTTGGGAAACCACCTCAAAGCCATTCATAATGGTTACAATGTAGAAATGAGTCAGGTGTAAAGCAATAGTGAAACGGCAGAGGTAATACTCATGAAGCAATTTATGAAGGCAATAGAGAAACTTATCTCTTTTTTAAAAGTTGGCAATCTGAAAGTTATTAGCTTAATGAGCTAGAATTAACAGATTATGCATTTACTGCATTATTTTATCTACTGGTTGTATGTGGTTGTATTATAGAAGGTGTATGTATAGACTCTGCATTTTTCCTTGGATTGGGCTTGATGTGAATAGAAATTGTTTGACATAATTTCTCCTTTCACAGTGGGATCCAATGGTCAAACACTCCCTGGCTACATTCAGCGGGCATGAAAGCGTCATTTACAGCACAATATGGTCGCCACATATCCCAGGTTGTTTTGCCTCAGCCTCAGGTACAAACCCCCTTTTGCTTTTCTGACTTGCTACTTATAATTTCTTGTGATGCAAGATCATAGCATGATTCTTAAACTTTTCACCTTTCATTACTGATCTTCTGCCTTGCCTACGGTCATCTCCCCACCCCTCCCCCCGGCTCAGTGTCAGGCTCCGCTTTGTTAAGCGCTCTGAGATGCTACCGTGGGTGAAGGGCGCTATATAAATACAAATTGTTGTTGTTGAACTGCTTTGACTTCCATTTAAACAAAAATCAACAAATTGTTTTGATTAATAGGGAGTACATACTCATTTGAAATCACATTTCTGTCTCCTACCTCTGCTTGTGCTACAGATTTTGTAACCATCTCCATGTCCACATACAGGATGAGGATATTCTGGATCAGGGGTTCTTGGTCACAGTAAGCCTCCCCTTCCTAAGGCAAGAGAAAAAAACAATAGCACCTCCCCACAATTCAGTAAAATAACACAAAGAACTGAAAATCCCAAGCAACAAAGTAGAAGGGCGCTGATTATTACAGTTACAATAAGAATGAGCAACAAAAGCATCATTTCTACGTCACAAAGAAGCCTCCGTGCTATCCCAAGGCTCTCCCTAAAATAGCACAAAAATCACAGCAGCCAAAACAAAACTGCACAAACACTCCAGGAAAACACACCACCAACCAACTTCAGACCATGTCAGTGAAATATCCATTTATTACTACTACTAATAATTTGATCACTCAATTCACAACTGTTTGTGGAACACTGCTGTGTGCATTTGGATGCCGCTTTTCGCCCACAAAATATAGAGTCAATTAATTGTACAGTATATTCTGTGAAGCGCTCTGAGATGTCTCGAAGATGTGATAAGGCGCTACATTAAATGCAAGGATTATTATTAATATCAGTCTCACCCCAGAAGTGCGAGGAGTGTGCCTGCCTCCTCGCTGTACAAAGTAGTGGAATTTGAGGATGCAGTATAGAAAGGTGGAAGCGAGGTTTGACTGTCGAAGGACCTGGCCGTTGGGGGAGCAGACCTATGAAACTCGGGACTGTTGGGAGCCATACAACCAGCACCTCCCCGGCTCACGTCACCCCCCCCCCCCCTCCACCAGGGTGTGTGGACAATGTAGTTTGAGAATCTACTCACAGTTTGAGAACCTTTGTCCAGGATGATAAATTATTCTCGCTATGTTCCTGCAATTTGGTATTTTAGAGCCTCAAAGTGTTTCATATCCATTTTGATTTATTTAATGCAACTTTGCTCCACCCAGAAGAGCTAATCTTTTATACAAATGCTCTTCGTATACATTGACTGAGAATTACTTTTTAGAAATTAGCCCATCATTCACGGGGAGTTTAACTTTGCATTCCCATATCATATTAGAGAACACAGATATTTTCTATTTCTTGATGCCTGTAGGAATTCTATTGTACACAGAGATAGAGTAAAGCCTGTTTCTCATTCACTTAATACTCTTTGGCAGGATTCTGAATGCTTCTAGATAGCCACTTGCAGATCTAAAAGAGAGTTCAGGAGGAACATCTTCAGAGAGAGTGCTGAGAATGTGGATCTTGCCGCCAGAAGCTGCGATTGAGGCAGGAAATATTAATGCACTTAAGAGGAAACCCGACGGAATCTTGAGGGAGAAAGGAATATTGGGGGAGGAGGAAAGTAGGAGAAATTAAACTCATGTACACTAATTTTTATTGTGTTATTGGAGCAGCTCTAAAATCTGAAACAATCTGAGTGGAGAAAAAAATTGACATAAAGTTTCACTGTTAGCAAGCTCAGTGCTGCCCTTTCCTCATGCCCTCACGAGCCACTGTTTCTCATGTGACTTTACCTAACTTATCTTCTCCGCTTTCTCTTTATCTCTCTTTTTCTTTCTTTGCACCTTTTTTCTGTCTCGCATCTCTCCCTCCATACTTTTTAAAAAAAACAAAGCTGAACTGATACGTGCTTAAAGCCAATAAGGGTAAGTAGACATAAGCTCTAATGCAGAGGAGAGCAACGAGGAGATCTCCAGTGTTAGCGGAATTAGAATTAGCTACTGGCAACAATTAGACAAGCTCTGCCTGCTATATCTCTATGAGGTCCTTTCTGAGTTCTGAGCTAATCTCTTAAGAGTGAAGAGTCCTAGCTTGTCTAATCGTTGCTAATAGCTCTTTCCTCTACCACTGGGGATCATCCTCATTGCTCTTCAGTGTCTTTAGGGCCCCTTATGTTGCGGTAACAGGAACTGTATACAGTATTCTAGGTGTGACCTGACCAGGGGACTGTACAGCCTGAGTATGACACCTAGGGATCTAAACTCAACTGATTTAGTAAAATAGTCCAGCTTCCTATTTGCCTTGTTTTTGAGATATTGTGATCAGCTTCTAGCTGCTCTGAGATTGAAACTGTGTGAAAATACTGCCGGTTTCCACAGAAGACCGATGGATTTTAAAATAACTACAACCCCAGTTGTTAAAATCACAAACAGTGACTATTTCATTGCACAAGGTCCTTACGGAGTTAGTTGGCTCATGATCATCCTTGCTTTTCACGGCTTCCTCCTCAACTGGCAAGCTGCCCGGTATTAATGTTTCCATTGGAGGGTCAGGAACAGCTATTTTTCTACGGCTTTGATGGCAACATTTGTTTACATTGTCAGTTTGCTGCTATTCAAAGAGATACCATAAGTGACCGACAGCAACTATAAATTGCTGTGATGGCAACTGCTTTCTGGCCTGTGTTGCTGAGTTACCACATGGTGGTGCTAACAGTACACAACAAGGTTTAGAAATAGGCCAGGAGGAAGGAAGGAACATATTGGTACTATTTTGAAGTTTCAATTAAATACAGTGCAATTATATTTAACAACAATCAAGTTTGTGTTTGTATTATGTACCTACTGATACTTAGGACAGTCTCTCTTGTGCCTCTTTGGCTCCCCCTGCATTATTGGTTTTAAAAATCGATTCAATAGTTTTATTTAGAATGTTACTTTAGTCAAAATACAGTACAGTGCTTACTTTGATTTGGTGAGTAACATTGGGAGGAAGCCCAGCTGGAACTCGCTTTAACAGAGGAAGCAAGTCCTTTTAAATAGGATATGTATCCAATGTTCCTATGTGTCAGTTGGTGTCAGCCTGGCTCGGGTTGTGCTTTCTCCCAGTGTTAGTCATAAATCAACTTTCCCTTACTTTCATTTGGATTAAAAGAAAAGCAGGCAGTTTAAGATAATGTAATAGGGAATGCAGACACTGCACCAATAATTAGGGAGCGAAGGGTTGGATCGAATAGCCTTGGAGGCTGTGCTTAAGGTGTAAAGACAGCTGGAACTCGCTTCAAAAGCAGGTCCTTTTAAATAGGATGCATGTTTCAAAGTACACGGTTGGTATCATCTTCGCTCAGGTTGGTAGCACTCTCACCTCTGAGCCAGAGGATTGTGGGTTCCAGCCCCATGTCTAGACTTGGAACTTGTATTGTCTAAGCCAGTGGTGGCCAATCTTTTGGTGTGCCAACAAAATTGATTTTCTTGATTAAATTTTCTTGTTTGAATATTTCTTGATTAATGCCATAAATCAAGAAATATTCAGTGAAGAAAAACCTGGAAACACACTACGAACATGCCCCAATCCAGTCCCTGGGTTCTATTGCATTGTTAAAGGTGGCGTACTCCAGATAAGACTTTAAACCAAGGTCCGGACATCTGCCCGTTCAAGTAGACATTAAAAATCCCATGGCACAATTTGAAAAGAGTTGTTCCAGTGCCCTGGCTGACAATCCCCTAGATAAAATTGCTTATTAATTTCAAGACTGTTTGTGGGACATTGCTGTGTGCAAGTTTCTGCAGTGTTTGACTAAAAAATGCACGGGCAGTTTACTTTGCAGTAAACCCAGTGAAGCACTTTGAGACATCAAAATGCAAGGATAATTATCACTATTATGTGGAATATTGATACCTCTTTACAAGTCATAAAGCAGTAATTGAACCAAGGCTGATGAGTTGGTCTATTTAATCGAGAGCTGGCCTCAGTGAGGTGTAGGTGTGTCCCTGGTAGACACTGGAGACGAAGGGACCTGGTGAAAGGTTAGGCTGTTTTTTTGGAGAGGGAGAATACTCAAGTGGATAATAAGAGTGATTATTCCGAGTTAAATCCTGTAAGAAAAACTGAAACTAAAAGTGCAAAAGCTCCAAAAATGGCTTAGTGTGTTTTTTTTTGTCAGCACTTCTGGTGAATGTGTGACAAGCACTTTAAATGTATTTAGAATTTTGCATGAACAATTATAAAACTACATTGCTTATTAAAAAAAGGATGAAAGTAACTTTTGTATTGCTCTTTCTACAGCATGGATTTCACTTATTAGCTTGGTGCGATTGGGTACCTTACTGCACTTCCACTTGGCAACCTGTGTTTATTACAGTTCAGCAGGATTATTGCAGGCTCTTAACTGAATTGAATTTGAGGGACTTCAGGCCCAGTTATAGTTGATGTGGGTCCACAGCACAACACCTGCCCTTTATATAGCATTGAATTACAACACAACAAATTGCACTTATATAGCACCCTCCACAAGATGGTAGCATCTCAGAGCGCTTAACAGTAGCTTAACAGGAGCCTGACTCCGAGCTGGGGGGAGTGGGGAGGTGGCCGTAAGCACAGTCGAGGAGGAAAGTTTTCAGGCGTGACTTGAAAGAGCGGAGAGGGGGACAAGGTGGAGGGATTGAGGGAGAGTGTTCCAGAGTTTTGGGGCGTAGTTGCTGAAAGCACAACCTCTGATGGTGGGGCAGAAGGTGTGAGGGACGAGAACTGGTGAGATGTGGGTACAGAGTTTGGTCCGGGTTAGTATGCGGACGGCAGAGTTTTGAACATAATCATCCAGAAAGGTTTCAAGAATAACTGGTGTGAGAAATGTGTTGACACGCTAGTAGATTAGGTGCTTACTGAGGTTGTGGCAGAGCAGAGAACTTTATCTGTGGATGACTGGGAGCTCGGGGGGTATTGCGTTGTTAAAGGAGGCGTG